GAATCTATCCTGAAAATGTTGTCGGCATTAAATAACCCATTGAGGTGTTGATATGCCGTAAACCAAACCAAACCAATCTAAACCAATGAATACATACTCTATTCATACGAATCTATCCTGAAAATGTTGTCGGCATTAAATAACCCATTGAGGTGTTGATATGCCGTAAAACAAACCAAACCAAACTATACCACATGTGCCGGTATATTAGAAATCTACTACTTTAATGACGCGATAAATTTGTGCAATTTTACCGGTATCTTATTTTACCGTACATGTTCCAATCCTCATAAATACGTTGGACCCTAATGAGGGTACTATGCTGTCTAAGTAGTTCACCATTAGTAGTAGTTTACCTAAAACATATTATATATATATATATATGGTATCAAATGACAATTGGAAAAAATCATACATTTTGCCGACGCGTTTCGTCTTCCAATTGTCATTTGATACCAATCTGTCTTGTCCACAGAATTCATCTGGGAATTTAACTATATATATATATATATATATATATATATATATATATATATATTTTTTTTGAATAAAAAGACAGACTACGTTAAGACATGGAATCTTAACGTAGTCTGTCTTTTATTCAAACATATATGCTCTGAATCTTACATTGAGCTCTCTGGATATCATCCTCCTCATGTCTACCCATACGGATTACCTAAATTTGAATAAACTATAAATATATATATATATATATATATATATATATATATATATATATATATATATATATTCAATTAATGCAGCATCATAAATAAGGATTTATGGTTACATTCACCAATTGGCTTTTTGGTTTTGTCATAGCAAAAAGCTATTTAGACATCCATAATAATAAGATACTGAACGTTACAACAATTACTCCAATGCATAAAAGTGCTTGCAAAACAAAATAATACAAACAGGCACATGATGTCGCAAACATTTTGGTGTGTGCTCGTCACATAATTGCGGTAATATATATATATATAAAAGTGAACATTGAAGTCAACACTTAGAGGCGACAGTCTGTTTCATGCTAGACGCAATAGTCAGGCCTGAAAATTGCGTCTAGCATGAAACAGACTGTCGCCTCTAAGTGTTGACTTCAATGTTCACTTTATATATATATATATATATATATATATATATATATATATATTACCGCAATTATGTGATTAGCACACCAAAATGTTTGCTCTTATCATGCATTAGACATCCGTCAACATTCATTTTTTTTCTTAATTAAACCCCTTCCACCTACCTCTCCTAAAATTCTCTCTGTTAAGGTTTAATCTCCCTCCTCCTCATACTTACACTTTCTCTAAATTCTGTTTTTTTTTATTTCCGGAGGGTTTTTTTCTATTTCTTTTTTGAATTTGTAGGTCTGATGAATTGGATCGTATTTACGATTCCAATGGAATAAATTATGACCATGGAATATTAGTGTTTAAACCTTTTTATTATATCCTTACTCTGTCCTAGACATTGAGTTCTACCTGGATTCTTCCTCTTGAAATTTTTCTGAAAATATACATGTATGGGTATTTATATATTTTGCACACGTATGTATATATTTACACTAATATTATCTATCTATCTATCTATATCTATCTATCTATCTATATATATATATATATATATATATATATATATATATATATATATATATTCAATTAATGTAACATCATAAATCAGTATTTACGGTTACATTCACCAATTACCTTTTACGTTTTGTCATAGCAAACAGCTTTTTAGACATTCATAACAATATGATATTGAACTCCCTAACAATCACAATCCATAAAGTCCTTGTGTAACAAAATAGTAATGAATACAGGAACACTATGAGGCGAATATTCTGGTGTGAGTTAGTCCAATCATTACACTACGTTATGCATCTATGCATCTACCCCGGGGCTGCAGGTAGATACTCTTCGTGTTATCAAATATTTATACAACTAAACCAACAATAATTAATAATAAATACTAATAAAAAGAAGTATGTGACAGTGATGTTTGAGTATGTGAATGTAAGTATATGTCGGGCTGGAGGTAGTAAAAAATGCTTTTTTTTCCAAGAGGAGTTGAGTGTTGCATGGTTGCTGTGGGTCTCTTCTTAGTTCTTGGGCCACCAGAACAAAGTACTAGCTGAACTCCCTTCTCATAAGTCCTGGACGTTATTATGAGTAGTGACCAGCCTAAGCTGTCGTGACAGATAATGATCGACATGTCGATCTCACGATAGGGAAAAATATCAATGTCATAAAAAAAAGAGAAAGAGTAAAAGCCATACGGTCAGTTTTAGTTTATGTCAGGCTGGGGGCAGTAGAAAGTACCTTTTATCAAAGGAGGATGGGTTTTGCATGGTTGCCCTTCTTAGTTCTTGGGCCCCAAGAACAAAGTACCAGTTGGACCCCCTTCTCATAGGCTCTGGTTGTTATTGTTGAAAATGAGAAAGTTGATACTTTACTGGAACACCATATATATATATATATATATATATATATATATATATATATATATATATATAGTAGTGATCAGACTAAGCTGTCGTGACAGATAATGATCGACATGTAGATCTCACGATAGGGAAAAATATCAAAGACATAAAAAAGAGAAAGAGTAACAGCCATAGAGTAAAAGTACCCGATCGACTAGGGGTCACCAAATGTCTACTTTCCCAGCTGTTATGATGCTTGAGATTTCAATATCTAAAGAGCTGCAAATATAAATAATCATCTTTATTCAAGAATATATAAGTTGTCTATATTCAGTTTGTTTGACTGTCGAGTATCGACCACTACGATATACACTTTTATGCAAATTAATTGAAACAACCGCTTTGGTTTCCTTTTTTTCACCATACGGTCAGTTTTAGACCCATTGGATTGACAGGGTGTAATCGATTTCTATTTTTTCCACAGATTAGGTCATTTTCAGTGGTATGCAATATTATGAATATATTTTGGGGGTATATGATGAAATTTGTTTAACCTTGAAAACTTCTGTCATCAGTGATTGCATCAGATTTTTATCATGCCCAGACACTATTGTCTCGACTGTCGATTAGTTGTCCTACGGCCACTGTCTGAGATGGACGTTACTCGAAGGAAGCGTACGAAAATTGTAACTCGGCACAAACACAGTGGTAAGCCTTACCAGTGAGCAAGTCAAAGTAGTATCAACTGGTTTGGAAATTCTCCTGATTTAAATCCAATCGAGAATCTGTGGTCAATCTGCAAGGAAAGACTTTGTGAAATGGACATACGAAGTACTAGCATATACACTGGGTCATGTTTCATTGAAAAATATGAAAAAAAAGTAAATAATAACGGAATTATTCGTTTTGCTTCAATTTGCACAAGGGTGTATACCATGTCATCATCACACCGGCTGCATCCATAACTATAGAGCCCCTAGTCTACTCCATTATGCTAGATGGCCGTTGACCCCCACCCTTTGATAGCTTTTAATCTTAATGGTTGTCTAGCCACCCTGCTCATTGGGAAACGTTTGGTAGGTGTACCTGTTTAGTCGTCGATCTGTCGGAATTATTTGTTTTGTTTAAATTAATTTGCACAGGGATGTACAACATTTTCTTTTTCACTATTTACATGCGGATTATTTTTTAAGTCTTTGCTGTTGTTATCGTATTTTGTCCGTTGGGATCTTTGGCATTCATCAGGGGCTTGTCATTCTGGGTAACTAATAACTTAGTGAATTAAAGCATTACTTCGTAAATTTGGTGACATAATAGTTGCGAGTTCAATACAGGCTTTGACGCAGTGGAAATGGTACGAGTAATAACGGAGTAGTACTAAATAAAAATAGACGAAATATTCGTAGATGTGGTCAGCTAAATGAGAACAGCATAACCCAGTGGTGGCATCCTAGCAGGTTCGCACCAGAACAGGTTGTTGGATTATCCAGAAATAATCTCGTATATTAATAGCCGTTATATCATAGCTAAAAATAGAGTTAATACCATTTCTGTAAGTTCTGCGGTGGCTGAAAGAGGGTTTTCTGGGATGAACATGTTACAGTTTTTTGGGATCTATGTACTAGTGAGCTGATTCATTTTATAGTTCACCAATAGAAGGGTTAACCAATCAGAAAGCTCAAAATATTCAATCCGACGTGTATAAAGGCAGTTATTTTGTTTTTTCTCCCAAAATATCTTTACTGTCAATCTCTGATATCGAAGGCTTAAAGAATTACTAAACAGCTGCTACTTTCTCCGAATCTTCACTGCCAACCTCTGATATTGAACACATTACGGACTTCACTGGGTTCTATATTCAGAGACTACGGCAAACATGGTTAACAGAACATAATTTATTCTGACAAAAGAAATCGTCTTGAAGTTAAAGATCTGGCAAATCTTTTACTCATAAATTTGATAGGTCTTCCATTGGATCTTTGGAAGTGTAGTGATTCAAATCAAATGTGGCTTAGAAATCATGAAACAGCTGATGACACTAAAGTCAAAAAGCATCATACTTCTGAGCAGAAATATGATAACAGAATTTCAATCTGGGAAGATTATCAAAATGGCTTAATTCTTTTTGATAAGTGATTTGTTTCCATTCTCAGATTGAAAAGAAAATAAGCAGAATAGGTTCCTAAAGATTACCTACTTTTATAGAACCGGTTCCTGGAAATTTGGGATGCCATTATTGAACAAACACCTGTAGATTAAATAAAGAGTTTATTTCAAAATTCCCTGAAGGTTACCCGAATCGACAAGTACCTGGTGAAGGCGTTTCGATCGTTGTGATAGCAACAATGATGAGGATATTAGTTTTCATGTAAATAACGATGACTTCATCTTTCTTTTTCGTCTCGTGTTTCGTACAGTGCTTACTAACAACTGTACAAAACCTTGTATAAAGTAATACGTTGCTCAAGGGTATTTGCACGTAACGAACCCAACTGGAATTGGAACTCTGCTGTCCAATCTAGAATTCCGAGCCATTATCCCTTACACCAACCGCACATCCAAGCTTACAGCACCTAATATTCCCAAGCGGTCACCCATCTAGTTACTGACCAGGCTTGATGTTGTTTAACGTCGGAGATCATACAAGAACCGGTGTTTCAACATGATATGGCCGTAAGCCTATTATATCTCATGCACATCCAAGCTTACAGCATCTGCTATTCCCATCTAGGTATGATCAGTCTTGACGTTGCTTAACTTTGTTGATCCAAAAGAGAACTGGTAGTTCAACATCATATGACCGTAAGCCCATCATATCCCCTGCATACACACGCTTACAACATTTGATATTCCCAAACAGTCACCAATCTCGGTAGTGACCAGGATCGACGTTGCTTAACTTCGGTGATCGTTTCAATATGATATGCCTGTGAGCTCATCATATCCTCTGCAGATACAAGCTTACCGCATCTGGTATTCCCAACCGGTCATCCATATAGTTACTGACCAGATTCGACGTTGCTTAACTTCGATAATCGTTTCAATATGATATGCCTGTAAACCAATCATATTCACTCCACCTAGAAGCTTACAGCATGTGGTGGTCTCAAGTGGTCATCCATCTAGGTATTGACCAGGATCGACGTTGCTTAACTTCTTTGATCGTTTCAATATGATATGCCGGTAAGCCCATAATTACCTTGGCACATACAATCTTACAGCATTTGGTATTCACAAGCGGTCACCTATCTAAGTACTGACCAGAATAGACGTTGCTTAACTTCGGTGATCGTTTCAATATGACACGCCTGTGAGCCCATCATTTCTTTTGCAGATACAAGCTTACAGCATCACGTGTTCACAAGCGGCCACCCATCTAGATCCTGACCAGGATCGACGTTGCTTAACGTCGGTGATCGTTTCAATCTGATATGCCTGTAAGCGTATCATATCCTCTGCAGATACAAGCTTCCAGATATCTAGTATTCCCAAGCGGTCGACCATTTCGGTACTGACCAGGTTTGACGTTGCTTAGCTTTGGTGATCGTACGGGAACCACTGTTTCAACTTGATATGGCCGTAAAGGTGATTAAATATCACGGAGCAGTTCAGTTCATTTTCTTTTCATAACCATTTCTTCAAGTTTTAATGTATGATGACTTGTTTCTAATTAATTCACTTGAGTAGACAAAAATAACTGTAAGCGAACAATAATTATCACTGCCTTTTTCCTATTTCTGAAGCAAAAGATCTTTACACGTATGTTCTTCCTTAGTGAAAATCGCCAATGGTTTAAAATACTGACAACGTTACCTTCAACGAAATGTTACAAAATTCAACATTAGAGATAATCATTATTCATGTAAGCGGTTATGTATGAGAGTATGTGAGTGAATAAGTGACAAGAAAACGAAACATACATTTAAATAAACGTTATTTTCCTCATGAAATTAGGCGGGCCATTCAGAAAGCCAATCGGACCGCATGCGGCCAGCGGGCCCCCGTTGGCTCCTGACTTGGCTTAGATTCTGAAAAGATTGTAAAGCTGAATAGATTTGTACCGTTTTCAATAAATCATTTTTGCTATAAGGTGTGGATTCGGTGAATGGTTACCATCCTGAGTTGGAAAAGGAGAAAGCGTTGTTGAGACATCTAAAATATCAAGCGATCGCAATTGGATTGAAATGATGTAAATTTAGATACGAAATTGACGACGTGTATCTTCATTTTTCATGGCTATCGTCTGACAAGCACTCGCTTCAGATGCCTTCTGTCCTGACTTACACTTAGCGGATATCCGTTTCTCAAATTACCAACTCGTTCTAAATATAGTTTTCAGATGTTGCGCCTATATATATATATATATATATATATATATATATATATATATATATATATATATATATATACATATTAATTTCCATGCTTAGATATGTCAATATATCACAGAAATATCGCTCAGCTTACCTTTCTAACGTCTCTCCGGTTTCTCCGTTCTAGCTTTCATCAATGAATTGTCGTTTGAAAGTAATACTTTCAACTTTCTTTCTTGGGCCATGTCCGCAAGTAATGAGAAGACGGGATGTAGCGTTGAATATTAGGTTCCGTTAGAAACCTACAAGTAAGTGTCTTGTATCATTCTATTAGAATCTGTGTCAACCGATAATCTGTCTTGTTCACGCTAGCAAACTGACTTCCTTAATCCAAATCGCGATCGCTATCATCTTATTCTCTGTGATCTATCTATCTATCTATCTATCTATCTATCTATCTATCTATCTAAAGATATATATATATATATATATATATATATATATATATATATATATATATATATATATTATATATATATATATATATATATTTGGAAACTAGAATCAATCAGCATGTACCTTCCAAAATACGACTTGGTAAGATAGATAGAATATGCTATCTTTCCCCCCCATGAATATGGAATCGGCTATTGCTCAACATTTAGTTGAGAATATAGCCTGCATAAGTTGTTTAAAAAAGAGTGGTTTAAAATTATTCATACAGCCGATTCCAACAATCATTTGAAGATTTTGGAATCGGTCTGTATAGGATTAAGGAAACCTTCCCTCTGCCGGCAGAAAGAATTTGTAAAGTCTCTTAATCTGTTGGGGGATATTTTATTTTAACTGTCCCTCGGTAATTTATTTACACGATTATTTCCCCCCCCCTCGTTACAAATATATACACTTGTTTGTTTTTTTTTGTTTTTTTTAGTGTGTTTCGCCCCCCCCTTTTTGCTCTTCATTGTCGTTAATATTCTTTTCGTTGATCCAACGATTGTCTCCTGATGAGATGTTGGTTGAAAGGGCCCTAGAGACGTTTAAAATTAAAATCAATACATTCCTTGTTTTTAAAACTATATATATATATATATATATATATATATATATATACATATATACAGAGAGAGAGAGAGAGAGAGGGAGACAGACAGACAGACAGACAGAGACGGAGACAGATAGATAGATAGATAGATAGATAGATAGATAGATAGATATAGGGATATATACCTGTTCATGCCTCTCTAGCTGACATTGCAGTCATTTCATATCTCTCACTTTACTAGCTAGGTATCTAGCAATCTCGGTCTGTTTCTATACATCTCAGTAACATATATATCTATATACCTATCTATCAATATATATATATATATATATATATATCGATCTATCTATCTGTCAGTATCTTTCTATTCGAACTTATCTATTTACTTATGTAAAGAAAGGAAGGAAGTCTGTTCATATCTGTCTCAGTCTGTTCATATCTATGTATCTATCTATCGATATATTTATGTATATATATATATATATATATATATATATATATAGAAAGAAAGAAAGAAAGACAAAAGGAGAAAGAAAGAAAGAAAAAGGAAGGAAGGAAGTCTGTTCATATCTGTCTCAGTCTGTTTATATCTATCTATCGATATATTTATGTGTGTATCTCTCTCTCTCTCTATATATATATATATATATATATATGTCTCTCTAGCTGTCTCTCACTTGACTAGCTAGATATGTAGCAAGCGCGATCTCTTTCTATCTCAGTATGTTCATATCTATCTATCTATCTATCTATCTATATATATATATATATATATATATATATATATATATATATATATATATATATTTATATATATATATATACCATTCTCATTCTCAGTCTGTTCATATCTATCTATCTATCTATCTATCTATCTATCTATCTATCTATCTATCCCAGTCTGTTCATATCTAGCCTATGTATTTCATGTTTCAACACATTGTTCTTTTGGAGACTTTCATATATATATATATATATATATATATATATATAAGTCTATATATATATATATATATATATATAAGAACAATGAAGTAAACACTCAGAGGCGACAAACTGTTTCATGCTAGATGCTTAGCCTGACGATTGTGTCTAGTATGAAACAGCATGTCTCCTCTGAATGTTGACTTCAATGTTCACTTTATATATATATATAAGACGAAAGGGATTTTTGATTATTAAATTACATTTTTATCCCTTTTAGAACGTTCGGAATTTTGGTTAAAAATCTTTTTTTTTTTCCTTCGTCAATCTAATGACCAAAGATTAGTATAGGAAATCTTTTCGCGTCTTTTTGCGCGGGAAAACACATTGATTTGGGAATTCTTACAAAAATCAAATAATTGTCGGATTTTAATGAAACTTCCCGGACTTATTTACAAATGAATTAAATTATTTAAAAATGTTTTACTTCAAAAGATTGATAAAAATACAAAAAGATTATATTACATTATATATTATCTTTCGTGAATATATATATATATATATATATATATATATATATATATATATATATATATATATATATATATATAATTATTTTTTATAAAAAGATTATAACATAAGTATGTTATAAAATCACTACAAAAAATAGCCATTTTGTTTCAACACAATCTGTGTCTTATCAAGTGATGATGTTGAAAAACTTTTTTTATGAAAAATAATTATATCTGCTCTACTTTGTATTGAGCACTCTTTTAAGAATAGTAATTGTTGGTTATTGGAATTCATTCCGTATATACCAATTATATACTTGGGTATATATATATATATATATATATATTGCCAATGCCTCATAAATAATGGTCTATTCAGTTTTGATCGCAAAGAAAACCGGAATAGACATATCATTGACGCTCTTTTATTTCCGTAAAAGAAAGAAAGAAAGAAAGAAAGAAAGAAAGAAAGAAAGAGAAAGTGGGAAGAGAGAAAAGGAGTAAGAAGGAAAGCAAGAAAAAAATGAAGGAAGAAAGCAGAAAGAAAGAAAGAAAAAAGCAAAAAGAAAGAAAGAAAGAAAAGGAGAAAGAAAGGAAGGAAGAAAAAAAGCAAGAAAAATGGAAAGGAAGAAAGAAAGGAAAGAAGAAAGAAAGCAAACAGAAAGAAAGAAACAATGCAAGAAAGAAAAAAAGAGAGAAAGAAAAATTAAGAATAATCAATTCAAACAGGAAAATCTACTAGTGATTTGTTAAAACTATTAACAAACTCGAATTTCTTTTGATTATCATGATCTAAGGGAGTTTAAATATATTTTTAATAATAAAAAAAACATTAAAAGGCTTAGTTTGTTTTGCTTTCATGATGAGGAATCGATTTACAATGAATTTCTAATTCACCAATTTTGACTGATGAATTACACGACCAAAATCGATCTTTCTACGATTTTATTTCGAGACACGAATTAACGTAATCCGTGGTTATTTTATGAATAAAATGGTCATTTATGCACTCCCCGCCCACCTCTTCTTCGTCTACGATCTACGTTGTTTGTTTGTATACTAGAAATATAGTGTATAACGATCCCAAATTACTTGGCCCGGTAGCTGAATTAGGGGAACAGTCAAGCTTGCTGAGTTCTATGATTGCAGAGCTTTCCATAAACCTCGGCGCAGGGCTCGATTTTATTTCTGTATTCCATTAACAGAGTGGGCTATTGGTGGAGTCAATTTTTGCATAGTTTCTCTTGAAATATTTACTAAACTATTAAGAATTTCATTATTTTATTTATGTTCTCAGTTGCCCTAAGCATGTGTACGTTTGTTTATGCTTGATGATAGCTTCAACTCTTATATGATTGTCATATTAAAGGACTTGCTGCTTTATACAATGTATATCTGTACTTGTGCAGGAAGAAATGAGTTCTGTAGACACCGGAGAATTCAGTTCCCCCTTTGCTGAGTTTAGCTTGAGCTCACGGGATGAATTGATAGAAAAATGGAATCTTTTTCTTTGACTACACTTTTTACGGTAACAATATATATATATATATATATATATATATATATAATTAACGTAATAAATCCGCAATATAAAATATTAAAACTGATCCACAAAAAGAGCTCAATGTATTTATTAGCCAATAAATAGTATTGCACAATAAAATACCAAATTACCTCATATAGAGAATAGAGCTATTTCAACCGATGAAAATTTCGTCAGTCTTATTCAACCCCAGTGTATAGACTGAGTTCGTGTCGGAATTAAAAATTTAACTGTGACAGCTGTCGA